TCAGCAAAACAAAGGAGCTGATTGTGGATTACAGGAAGCACCAGAGAGAGGGACACGCCCCCATCGCCATCAATGGGACTACGGTGGAGAGAGTCAGCAGCTTCAGGTTCCTCGGTGTCCACATCACTGAGGACCTGACATGGACTCTTCACACGACCACCATCACCAAAACAGCGGCTCTTCTTCCTCCGCAGGCTGAGGAGGTTCAACATGGACTCCAGGATACTCTGCAACTTCTACAGGTGCACCATAGAGAGGATCCTGACCTTCTATAGGTGCACCATAGAGAGTATCCTGACCTTCTACAGGTGCACCATAGAGAGCATCCTGACCTTCTACAGGTGCACCATAGAGAGCATCCTGACCTTCTACAGGTGCACCATAGAGAGCATCCTGACCTTCTACAGGTGCACCATAGAGAGCATCCTGACCTTCTACAGGTGCACCATAGAGAGCATCCTGACCTTCTACAGGTGCACCATAGAGAGGATCCTGACCTTCTACAGGTGCACCATAGAGAGCATCCTGACCTTCTACAGGTGCACCATAGAGAGCATCCTGACCTTCTACAGGTGCACCATAGAGAGCATCCTGAGCGGCCTGGTACGGCAGCTGCACCGCCCTTAACTTCATTTGATTTTACTGTACAATATTACATTTTACATTCTGTTCTTGTATACCTTATTCTATTCACATGTATAAAGGCTCCTGCATTGACTTACAACATTCTCTGCATTATTTAGCTTATTGTATTTATATATTTTTCTGACATGTATATAGTTGACTTCATCTGTATTACTTGCACATTGGTCATGCTACATAATCTGAACTATTTCATTCTACTGTTTCTTCTTGCACTATTTTTTCTTTTTCAATTGTTGTTTTATGTCCTATATATGTTGCAATGCTGGAGGAGCATTTCTACACTGTAGCTACTGTGCATATGACAAAAAAAGACGCCTATGTCTTTGGTGATCTCCTGATTTCTCACATTGAATGTAAATGCAGGATTTAATACATTTAAGCGGCCTGTCTCGAGATAAAAAAAAGTATGCGAATCATCTGAGGTCTTGGGCACATAGAGCATATATACTTGAGTCTTCCTTAACCCCCACATCCGAGCAGATGCATCACTGCTGATCTCAGTTCCGTCAAATGAATGGAGAGGAAAAATATATCTCGATATTTTCAAGTGTTTTTAGTGTGCGGTTGATTTACCTAAAAGATACAAATATATGCTGATTTACAGATGTATCTTCCAGTGTAAGTCAATGGAAAAAGAGTATTGTAGGGCCCAAATGACGTCAAGATTGAGGTGGAAGTGTATTATCACTGTTTAGTGACTACGAAAATGTGCTTCAATTCCGGGCTCACTTAATGGGGCTTGGCTAGAGCAGATTGTACAACAGTTAAAAAAATGTTGTCAAGCACTTTAGTTGATGACAGGATACTTGTGACCAAACTTATATTTTAGCGTTAGCATGTTAACATAACAAGACTACATTTTTGACAGCCAAATGAAGTGCAGATGTAATTTAAGATATGGTGAAAGTAAAAACATTTTGCATTTAAAGCTACACAATTTGGGTCACCTTTCACTACAGACTTTGGCTGATTTGAGGAATCCATGTTTGTATAGCTTTCAGGCATTTACCCTAACCATAAATGTCAAGTTCTGAATACAACATTGGATATGATTTAAAAAACGTTTTACAAATGTAAAACTGGTAATTACCTCCATCCGACCAATGTGGTCTGAGCTATGTTTGGACTCATCTTGTCAGGATCAGCTCAACATTGTCATACTTAAATCACCTAAGAATAGCAACGTTGTCTCTATTTCTTATTCTTCCAACTGCTTTTTTTTGTAACATGCATGTCATTATTATTGCCTCATGGGGCTGCTGGTGAAGCAAAATACTTTTAGTCCTTTTCATATTTTTACAATTGTTGTAGGAGCCATTTCCTTAGATATGGATCCTGGGAAGAGTGCTAGAAGCTATGGCAGACACTAAAGGACTGGTTCGAGCTGTTAAAGTTAAAACACAGACCAGTGTGCTGGAGAGGCCAATTACCAAGATCTGTCTGCTGTTAGAATGTGAAGAGTGACGGCAGCAAAGAGTCTTCTTCCGCTGATGGCACGATGATATCATGTAGACAGGATGAGTAACACCACACAACTCATATTGATAGATGACTGGATTCATGAAATGAATAGAAATCCTGACTATAGGCTCCTTTTTTTTAAAAATGGATATTTGATAATTGTTTTTGTGGTACTCCAAAATACAATTAGAGGCCGGTTATGTCGGAGCCATTTCCTTAGATTATATTCATTTATCTTTTTAGAGTACATAGCCTGAGATTCTGTGGTGTATATTATTTATTATTTAATTTGAGTGCGTTACTCCTGCAGGTCAAGATGCTGCAGCATAAAAGGAGAGGTGCTGCAGCCTACTGGTGTGGCTGACTGAAGCAAACAGTTTTTAGACCTTGCTGGTTGGGAGCGTCACAGCTTGGTTCTTTCTTGTGCCTTTAACATTGAAGTATCAGTTTATATAAGAAATAGTTTGTTTAAAAATGTTTATTTTTGCCTTTTTTGGAATAAACTATCTTACTTTTCAATCGCATCTGGACATTTATATTTTTTCTCTCAAACTACAAGCGTCTATTCGTTGGTCAGCCCCACGAGTGAATCACAAACAAAGGACAAAAAACAAATGGATATCGTGGTCACTACAATTGTCATGCCTTCGCAACATGGGGATCATGAATGTGCGAGCGAAATAAGAGCCAGAGAGGGGGTGTAAACATGTGTCAGAAAAAGATAATTGGAATGCTTGCCTGTGTGTGAATGTGTATGTAAATGAGGGTGGTAAGAGAAGACGCGAGGATGACAGACAAAGTCAGTCTGTGTGTGCGTAAGACCCTGATGGTTTGAATGCGTGTCTGTCATTTTATTTGTTTCCTTGAGTGTCTGTGAGAGATATTAACAACCTGTCAAGTTGTTTGCAGGTCTTCATCGGCCGGTTGTTCAGACTGTTTAAACTGAGTCCTTGTGTTGTTCAGTTGGCTCGTTTCCTGTACTCAAAAGCTTCAAAACTTCTTCATCGATTTTTCAATCTCCTACAGAACATGCATTGTTAATACAAATAAATTGTTAAAAACAAAGAAAACCATTTATATATTTGTAGCACTTTAAAAGGTCGGCTTATTTGAAGACAATGAAGTAGCAATCATAATGATGTGCCTTTTTAAAGCTAATGTACTTGAACAATTATTGCTGATTTTAGTTTGAATCTTGATTGTTGATTGGACTTGTTGTATATTGCATATTGCAAGTGGATGAAAATGAAATGTAATGCGTACTTGGACTTATATACCGTCATCGCTACTGCTTATGCCACTTTTTTCTGTAACAATGTACATTTCCCCGCTGTCGGACTAATAAAGGATTTCTGATGATGATTTGGATTATGATATTTATCAAAAAGTCGAAAGGGCAAAAACCACTGGCTGTGTTGGACTGCGTCTTGTCATTGACTTTTATTGACACATGTGGCAGATGTTCCATCATTTAGAGTGCAACAACTAGTGGTAAAAACATGTTTAATTTGTATTACTTCACAAGCAAGACTTGCAGCACTTCAACAACACACTTCATGACAGACCGTGGTTTTGCTGTCTTGCAGGAATGTGCATAGACAAGCCACCTACTGGTGAGTGCAACCAAGAATTAAAGAACAAAATAATTACATTGTATGGCTATTAGAAAACAATGTTATTATAAAAGTGGCAGAAAGGGTCCCTTTTCTGAGGACCAACGCAGCATTTTGCCAAATGGGAACTTTGGTGGAACATTTTCATTATGAAAATATGGAACTTCAAACACTTGCATTACTCTTTGAGAAGACCGAACAAACACTTTCCAAATAAAAAGGGGTCACAAAGGCTTTAAACAAAATAATTAATTGAATAATAGTTTTATCCCATTTTGCTTTCAATCTAAAAGGCAGCTAGAATTACTTTTCCTCATCCAGGTAATGTGCAATATTCCATTCGATGCGCGTTAGCACAATCTATGTTTTCCACCCTACAGCTGTGAAGAAACGACACAGTTCCCCTAGCTTAAACACAACTCTTAGCATTTATATGCTTCCATCTGCCTGGCACACCAATTAGCTAGTTGTGCTAAATGTTGCCTATGCTAGTTTCAAGGCAGAACTAAAGCTTGTCGAAATGTGGAACCACATTATGGGTGTCAGTCTACATACCATGTCATCTGTTTGTGGCTGTGTGCACCCCAGTACTCTAATGTTTTGACATCCAGGCTCCCTGTTTAGTCACTATGTTCATGTTCCACCCACAGTCAGCGTCTCATCGGCTGGATTTACACCTTTACCTAACCTCAGGGATTTCCCAGTCACTGACAGCTACTCCTAACTGGATCAGGTGGGTGGCCAGGGTTACACTGAGGTGGGGCTGAATTTCATAATCATTATTATACACTAATTAACTCAGAGGAAATGACCCTTTTTGATTAGAGTCATGTAAGGGGAGGAAGGTGAATCTGTGGAGTTAACAAAGACAGATGGTTCTAACTGTCAATTGACCCAAACCTGGGTAAATGCTAGGGCTAAGCATGAAGGAAAATATGAACCTATCGTTATCTGCTATCCTTTTAGGTCTTGATTTAGCCTAGTTCCAGAAAGACAGAAATAAAAGAGGAACTATAGACAAGCTATATTGGAAGTATTTTCTTTGCTACGAGTTCTGTCTACATGGATTGAACTTGTTAATAAATAACTTACAGTTCAAAGCCTCTAACTGACATTGCAGAAAGTTATAGAGGAAAAGACAGACAGCCAAAAATACAGATAATGATGAGTCATGCCTGTATTTGAATTTGCACACACCAACAGTTGATAGGAAACAAGAGCAGTGCACACAATCAGGGCAATGATGAAATTTGAAGCGAATAAGGAAAAGATGAACATTACCTTTCTCTTGTTGTTGGGGCTCACGTACAAATAACTCAGTATTGTCTTTGCTCCCACTTTCTCATTAAGCTTCTGGTACGTTGCTCCGTAGTCAGTTGACCTGAAATGTAATCAGAAAGGTCTGATGAACACTTGATGAATTACTTGTTGCAATTAAAAGTCCCCCCCCCCCCCTCGAGAATTCAGTGGCAGAGGGGAAAGAGCATCTGCGTTATTAAGTCTCTTTTGTGTTTAACGCAGCGACATGAATCCCCAAGGAGAACAGCGGCTACATCATTATGGTCAGTGTGTGGGGACTGCTGAACACAAACAACACATAATAAAACCAAAGAAAACCTTTTTTTGTATCCAGATGTTCATCATCTGGATCATCAGTTCGTTCCATTATAAATATTTTGTATTTACAAGCAACCATGCAATCACACAAATCATAATGAAAGAGCAATGCTACTAGAATAATTTGAACATGCTCAAATAGAGCCAAGGAACAAAATAAACAGCGTCAGAATAAATTCGCTATTAGCAAGACTGTATAAATGAAGTCTACGGGAGTTTTTGTGCTATTCATGCAGAAAAAACAGGACATTTTTAAGCTTTTTACTCACCTGCTGGCTGCAGGAAAAAGTCTCTTTTATTGGTACTGAGTAACTTAGAAATGTTATTCTGGATTAATACCTCATTATAAAACATCTGATGCTATTACTTGTCATTATTCTACAATTGAAGTGGCTCAATAAATAGCATTATGACATGGACCGATAAAAGGGCATGTTGATTAAACACCTCGGTGCACACCAGCCAAGGGCAATTGTTTTAAACCAAACTGCTGGTGTAAATAATCACATTCAACCATGGAACCAAAGTCATCTGGATACAGCATTGGAGGCGTGACTCCGTTCATTCCTGTGAAAGTTGCTCAGTGGTGCATGAAGCCCAAAATCAAATCAAGTTTTATTTATATAGCACATTTTTTAACGATTTTTGGTCGAGCCAAAGTGCTGTACATATAATAAAAAATACCCTACAGTGAAGACACTTTACAGCAAATACAACAGCATAGTTTGTGCATAATATCAGTATGAGAAAACGACACCTTCTGTCCTTAGACCCTCACATCGTACAAGGAAAAACTTCCAGAGAAAAACCACATTTCAAAGGGAAAAATGGGAGAAACCTCAGGGAGAGCAACAGAGGAGGGATCCCTCTCCCAGGACGGACAGACGTGCAATAGATGCCGTGTGACTAACTGGAGGTAAAACAGCCCAGTCTTGGGCCCATAGTTTACCATAAGCCCTGTATCTAATCCACTGGTTCAGTTAAATTAATGGACAGGGTAGATAACATTTGTTGTATTCTTCTGCTTTTAATGTGTTTTTTCAACTTTTAGGGCCCAGTGATTTGAACAAGGGCTATTCAAGTGTTTGTACAGGCTAATTGATTTACCAAAATGTATAAGTGGATTTACAGATGTCTTTCCCAATGCAAGTCAATAGGAAAGTCTTTTGGGCCGAGTGACGTCACAGACTGACAAGGCAGTTGCCTTACCACCGCTTGGCCTTAACAAAAAATATAATTTTATCAGGTTGAGAAAAAGGCTTTCAATATCTAAAGCAAAAATAAAAAGAGCACAACATCACAGTAAAATCGGGCTTGCATGGTGGAGCAGACATAGGTACCTAAAGACACAAATACAAACAAGGAATTTAAAAGTATGACAAAATTAAGAAACAATGTGTACCCCATGGAAATTGTGAGAGTAAAATGATCACATTTTATTTTTTTCTGCATCTTTCCAAAGTGGTTAAAGTGACTAGTTTGATGCAAACACAGTAGTTTGTGTAATTATTATACAGTATGTTGTTACTGATTGTCCAAAGATCAAATGACAGATGATTATCTGCAAAAGAAATTGTCAAAGTTTTCAAATTAGAGGCTACAGACACAGTACACATGGCTGTCGTGCTGCCTGACGCTAACTTTAATGAGCTCTTAAGTCTGTCGTGAAGATTAAAAGCAGCTTTGCATGACAGAAACGGCTAACAAACACTCATTAATCTGCATATACTCACTGCTTGGAAAAACACCAGGGGAGAATAAAACGGTATCAAGTGGGTGTAGTTTCGTGCAGTCAAAATGTTTTTTAAGGTTGTTAAAACTGAAGCAGATGATGTGATTTTTTTAATGTAGGCGACAGGAAACTGAATGTCTTTCTTCCAAAGCAAATAAATACATGAGAATTGTCAGCTCAAGCATCTAATTAAATTTGAAATACACAAATTAATTAATGTTTGCATGGATCAATAATTTGTCTTAGAACAAAAATATCTGAAATGTCTTTGCCACCTGCCCATACATATGTTAGCTGTCATATGTTTAATAGCATGATATTTGGCCATGATGATATATACAGTACAGGGTCCACTTCATGGCAAATTTAGGGTGGTATCAAGCTCAAGCTACATTCACTAACATTTTTCTAACTTGACTGGTAAGCAGAGTCGCTTTATTATTTTCGTCACTTAATTTGCATAGAAAAGTGTGATTAACCAGCTATAAACAGTTAAATCAAGACCAGCTTTCAATGAGAGCTAAAATATTCAAAGGTTGGTCAAAGTCCTAATGCAACATTTGTGTTCTGTTGAAATTTAGCATTTCAGACCGTGTCCAAAAGTTTGAGCGATGTGAGCTGTCAGGTCTAATTTATTTTGAGCAGTCTGAGGCTCAGCTCAATGAGCTTTTCTAATTTCACATGGAGATAGAGAAAAAGCCCAAAGCATGCAAATCTTAAAAATGCAGCAAAGACGCCGCAGAATGCCTCGTGTGACTTCAAATGAAGAAATAATTCACACGGACGGATTTTTTTTCCACCTATTTTCGGTGTAGCTGTTAAATCCAGACTAAGTCCTTGTTTGAAGGGTTTTGATGGAGATTACTGAGAACTTCATGCTTGAAGTTTTACAAACAGCCATGGAAATAAAGATATATTCACTGGCAAATATGTTTCATTTACTAGCCCTTTAAGATTTTTCCCTGGTTCCCTGGTGAGAAAATAAATTGCCACCAGGCGAACTCTGCTGGATATAAGTCTCCGGTATAATTCATCAGGAACCATCAACAGCCGGGACCATGGGAAAATGACATCATCAGGCTATTGATCGGCTCTTCAGAGGCCCTTGTCACAGAATCACTTGATTTAGGGGCCAATGACTTATTTTTAGTGTCCCAGCAACTTTCAACATGAACCAATAAAAATGGCCAACCCCAGCAGGATGATGGAAGTTACATAAAATGGAAAAAAGACAGTTTCTCAAGGACGATGACTCTGAGTGAAACTTGTTGGCTTGCTCATGGCTTTTGATCGCCTATTCAGTGGATATGTGTGGGTGCAAAATGCTGCTCATGTCAGGTTTGGGAAAAATAGGACCCAAGTGCAGTTTAAAAAAGGACTAAAAAAGGTAAGGTAACAAAAGGGGAGCTTTATTTATAAAAAGCTGAAGACAAGAAAAACAAGAAACTAATTAACAAAAACAAAACCGGGGAGCACGACAGACAGGAACAAACTTACAGGCGGGAACAGGCAGGAGACATGGACAAGCATAGACGACAGGTAGAAGGGACATGAAACGACGACGACGAACAGACATGGAGCACAGGGGAAGACAAGACTAAATACACAGAAGGGTAATCACAGGACAAGTCACAGCTGGGCAGGGGAGGCAGAAACACAAGGGCAACAGGTGAACACAATGAGGCACAATCAGACACACCAGGGAAACTAACGACAGGAAGGCAAACACAGGGGGCCGTTCTCATTTCATCAAATCCCCCTCCTCGACTCCTCGGTCCTCCGGTAGTGACCCGGAAATGAATTTTAGCGCGCCATGTTGAAGGACATCTCATTTCTCTAAATGCACATCGAGGACCGAGCATCGAGCGTCGAGGAGGCTCTCTGGAGGAGCTCTAACCGAGGATACACTGATGGGTCCTCCACGGTCCTCCACGGCTCCTTCGTGGATGCATTTCCAGGAACAGAGATGTTTCAAAGAGTCGTGACGCACCGCCGGACTTATCTCAGTCAATGACAGCTCTGCATGCATCCCCTGGATATTATTTTATTAACTGCTTTCATCGCGACGCGATGTTTACAGTGAGAACAGCTGTGAGGTCCGTGCAGAAAGCAGAGCAGTGTGTATAATATATATCATATCACTCAGTATAACAGGCCTACTCTCTTTATTTGCTTTAGTTTAGTAGATATCTACAAACAAAGAGTCGATATTGTTCTAAAACCATTTAGTGCTTCACATAATAAACTACACAACGGCTGTAGCCTGATTATATGCTTTAGGAGCTGTAGGTGCGTGTGTGTGGTGCAGTGTGTGCGTAGATGCAGCGGACAGACAGGTCTCAGTTGGTTTGGTGTCCTCTGCTTACTTTTAATACTTGTAAATAAAACTTTTGGCCCGTAATTTATTTTCCTCATTGTAGCGACCAGAGAGGGGAGAGGGGGGGGGGATATATCCAGTCTCTGATAGTGTTACGTTATTATGAGAGTGCTCTGTTTGATTCTGAAATTGTGTATGTGTATGTGTATATATATATATATATATATATATATATATATATATATATATATATATATATATATATATATATATATATATATATATATATATATATATATATATATATATCTATATATCTATATATATATATATATATATATATATATATATATATATATATATATATGTGTGTGTGTGTGTGTGTGTGTGTGTGTGTCCCCGCATCTGTAGCCTGTTATTGTCTCATTATACCGCACTGTCAATGAATTAAAAGTAAATATATAAGTCGTCATGAACACATCTGTCCATCAGACAGAGGACTGCTGTGCCTCCTGTCATCATTAATGGACGTCTCTTTAAAATGACCGCTCAGAGGAGAGGAGTTCTCATTTCTCTAACCGCCTGCTGCTTCCCCTCCTCTCTCCTCGGTTCCCCTCCTCGGCTCCTCCGCTCGCATCTCCTGTTGGCGGGACTAAGTCTCGAGGATAGGAGTCGAGGAGGGGAGTCGAGGAGGGGAATTTGATGAAATGAGAAC